CACCGAGAGAGTACGACCCTCCCCCCACTCCGGGTCCATCCAAGTACAACTATCCCGTTGCTACTTGTAGCAACATAGGGTTGACCCTGATTCTGGATTTCTTTTTCAACACACGAAGACGCACGACCAAGTTGACGTGCGATTTCGCAATAGGAAGGTTCAGAAGCATGAGGACTCCCATATCTGTGCTTGGTCTTCTTCAGAAAAACGCTTGCCGTGAAGAGGAATGATGCCAGAATAAGTAACGAAAGGAGAAGTAAAAATAGGTTAGGAAATCGATGCAGAAACTTCATCTGCCTCAGGGTGTCCACATAATTTTGATACAAAGAAAAAAATTTCCATTAAAAATATTCTGCTAAATGCCGTAATGCCTTCGACTGCGAAAGTGTTACACGTATATGTGACCAGTAACCAAAAGCTCGAAAGGCCATCTTTATCCACTTGACCTCAAACATAAAATCATCTTTACCAAGTGGCCTTCAATTTACAGATTTTGTTTTGCTTTACTGGCAACGATCCGACAGAGGTGATGGAAGAAATGGAAAAAAGGTTTGCCTTCAATGCGAGCAACGAATGTGTTAGTGGTACACTAAACTACAACGAGTGGAAATATCGTGTTGCATGTAGCTACATTAATTATGCACCTATACCTGTATACGTCGCCATTCTTATTCTCCGAAGGCTTACTATATCTAAGATGAACTACCATACATCCATGTCTGGAACCACGAAACAGCTCCATTCCCAACTACTGAAGGTAGGCGATATTTCTCACCTTCTATCGATTCTACCAATTTCATATGCAATCACATTCAACACTTCATTCAACTTTGCAATATTATAGTATTTGTCTATAGTTTGCGCATAACTAAGGAGCGGTCTGAACAAGTAAAGCAATGCAATAATATAAGTGCATTGATTCCATTGAGGTTACACAAATTTTTTGTAAACTACTCCAAGCTTTATTTGGACCTTAGACAGGGTCACGTTCGCACCTTTTCGAGATTTTTGCGATTACCTAACTCTCCGGAAAGTACTTCTGTTAGAAGTGGAAAACCCAAAATTCTAAGAAGGCGCACCTTCAACTTTGAAGGCCCATAATAATCTTTCGTATGCGATTTTTGGAAAGCTGTAAAAGTTTCAGAAACTTCAAATATTTCTCTATCAAAAGTAAAAAGTTTAGTGATTGACCCCTTTTTAAAAATTGTCCCGTTCGCAACATTTCCGTGCGTGCGAAGGCGAGTTTTTGGGCTTTCAGCAGCCATAACTCACTTCTGTTTCATTTCTGTGGCAAACTTTTTGTATGGCAAGAAAGAGCAGGATTTGCTCTTTCCTAACAAGCTCCGAACAATTTCTCGAAGTTATTTTCGGATGATAATCACAGTTCGCCAATTTGGGAATTTGCGAGTGTTGCCGCACCATTCTTTTTGAAAACGCGGGTTTTCGGGCTCTTAGTAACCATATTCCCTTCATTTTCATTTCTGTCGCTAACTTTTTCTAAGGCAAGAAGTTGTAGGAATTTAAGGATCTCTCTAGCAAGCATTAAACCGTTTCTCAAAGTTCATTTTTCGAGAAAATCACACGTTCGAACATATTTTTCCCAAAGGTTTTTGAGCAGTACATTTGAGGTTTCGAGCTTTCAGCAATAATAACTTCCTTCAAAGCTGTGAGATGGGGGAAAGGGAGGCGAAGACATTTTTGAAGCCTAAAATTCTGTGGAAGAAGCGTTCCCAAGAAATCAGGACCCTGGAAACTTTACTTTCTGCCCCGAGAAGTCCATCCCTCCATAGCAAATGCATCCAACTCTTCTTTATTCCTAAGAATACGCGTGATTCGCCTAAAACTGTCCCTCTGTGCATAATAAATCGAGATCTAATGCAGAATGCACAAGGAAGTATAGCCCTCGGTACGCCACGCACGCGCCTGTGGCTGGCGTTTCAAAGTCTATTTCATCTTGCTATGAACCGTAGCTCACAGCTAATCCTTGTCCTGTTCTGGCCTAGGCGTAGGCCTGAAATAGTGATTTGTTTAAACTAAGTCGTGAACCTCAAGATTGCGGCCTCCTCATAGGCCATACCAAAATGGGACCCCATACCGTAGTGCGTGGATCTAGAATAGCGCGAACGGGCAGCTGACTTTGTCCTTCGCCTCTCACCTTTCTTCTAGAGCAGTTACCATTCGTTTCCCTTTTCCACCTCGACTTTCAACATTTTTTCTTTGAAATTTTCCTCCATAAAAAAATTTCTTGATATCACGCTGCACCAGTTCCCATCAGTACCTCAGTACCCAAAAATAAAAAATAGAATAAAATGAGCAACCGCATCGAATGCACCCGATGACTATGCTTCATCTGCTGTCTTAGCTCATTTTATATTCTTAACTAATCTTTTTCAACAACCCTGTGTGATTTGTGTATGTGTAGCTAGTAACCTTTTCCATGCAGCAGATCCCAGTCAATGCACTGATTTTAGCGCTGACACTCGATGCAACTCAGCACAGTAATCTCTCTCGTAGTGAGGGGCAGGGGAGGGGCGACAGGCACTTCTTTCTGATCTTCTATCTGTTGCCAAGATCTACTCAGAGAAGCGTAGGTCTTGTTCTGGGATCATGCCTGGAAAACCGTCCTCTTCAGCTTCATTGCAGTCCCAATCGAGTAGCAACCAACCCTCATCAAACGTTTACCAAACTTATCCCTTGTTTACTTTCAAACGCGGTCGAATCTTGAAGCAGAATGAAGCAGTTCAATTATGTCGCCTGAGCATCGTTATAACGGAGCGACCTAGGTAGCCCCTCTTCGAACAGCACTAAATTCGGGTAACTCTTCGGTACATTTACATAATTGTGAGTCGTTGAGTCAACCCGCTCGCTCCACTAGTGTTTTATTAGAAACGAATAATGCCTTCCAGTAGTGCGCTTTTAGGCTGTGTGATATTGACTTAGTATAGCATTTCGCAGTTGTTGAAAGGGCATTCTTCAGCCATGCACAGTTTTGCTGCTCCTTACACGACCCAATAAAAAATCAGTACTCTTCGAGGGAAAACCTTCTTCAAGGTTGCCATGCTCTCGACTTATGTAGCACTTCCGCATTGTTCATGAGGAAATCAGGTTGCCCGTCATGCTGCCGAAGTACAGTATGATGATGCGCGGTAGCGTGCACGGCAAGAGATACAAATACATGACAATCAGTCGGCCCTGCACTTCAAGAATTACTATCATTCTGAAGAATGACATGAGTAGTGACGTTCGGTCAATAGAAGGGAAATGACACCTTTGAAAGGTTAGCTGCGGACCAGGCTACCTTACGTCATGAGTGCGAAACAGTTTTTGCAGACGAATGTGTATTTTCAGGCACAAATTCACCATTTTCAGAACTACAGAACAACTCCGTGTTGGCCAGTAATTTCAGAAGTTTCGAGTATTAAAGAGATTAGACTGATTAATCTTCACTAGCTTTTTACTACTCAATTCTAATTACTTCAGATATGTCTATCCAACCAATCCCACTCTACATAAGCATCACAATGTCTATTTAAGTTTTTTAAGGTGCTGACTATCCAGGCCTGTTTGCCCATGACGCTGTTCGTGTCCACCTTCGGATATTTTATTTCCCAAATGGATATATATCGTAATCCTCTTATAGAATATTCTCAGAGTTTTCTGGTAGTACCAATTCCTGCACTAAATGCTCTTGTATCATTATATTTCATCGGGCCCTATCGTATGTGGATAGGTGATTCGCTTTCCTGCACGCACATACCACCCTTCAAATTGCGTAACAGCAACATAGTGCCTGTACCCACTTATAACGGTGCCGTTGCTCCTGCCACCGAGTAATTTGTTACCAGTGTGCTCGCGAATCTTGGCGCTACGGAAGATACTTGAGTAAGCACCTCTTGCTTGTTGTTGAGCTCAACTCAGCCCTTAAGGTGTAAGAGATGGCAAGTCAAAGCGAAAAAAAAACCCCACATTGAAAGAGCTCATCTTTCAAACTGAACATTTTTGGAAGGAGTAACAACATCACATCCTCATCCCGATGTTGGAAGTGTTGCAGTTCTGCAGGTGGGAAATGGAGCGATAGTTGACTTCCTTCTACATACGTTTTTTAGACAGCTGTATACATATTTGGAAACCCCATTTCAGTTAGGCCTACTTTGTTCACCAGTTCCATGTAGATGTTGGTCTGATCAAAACTTTCAGTTATTCTTTGTCTGTTTCCGATATCCGACCTTCACCCTAGTCTTCTTCGAAGTTTTCGTTACCGCGAGAAAGAATTTTTGAATCACGACTGCACAGTGCGAGTTCTCGTGGACTTCGGGACCAAATGCTCAGCTGCGACTTGCTTGAGCACTTTTCGGATCAAACTTTGAGGAGGAACGAGAAACTCGGGCAAAATGACCTGTTGAGTATGTTGTATTCAAGACTTCAAAAACAAAGAGGGAAAGTGTTCCAGGGTTAAAGTAACAGTAGGTTTAGACAGAGCGGAAAACGCGCTTTCAAACGAATCATGGAGCTGTAGCTATTTCTTAGACGTGATTCAGGTGGTTGAAAGTGAGTTACTGAAAAAGGCAGATGCTTTTCGAACAATTCAAAACATGCTTCCAGCCTCGCGCTTCATTAGAGTTGTATGGAGCTGGATTAATGGTATCGTGCACGTAAACCGAATGATTCTATGTAGTCCTCACTAGTCTGTGGCTCGATCTTTAACAGTAGGAAAGAGAGAGACCGAAAACTTGTGAAGTGGAAATGAACCGGAAAACAGGATTATTACACGCTCTTATTCGCGCCGTAAAAGTATCACAACTGTTCGTAGCCGGAGGTCTCTAGGTGAAGAGAACCAAATACGTAGCGCGGCCACATATCGAGCGATACATCGGTAGGAAGAAGTAGAATTAATTCGGAGACTAAACTCATGGCGTCTACATCCTGGAACCCATTAAAAAAAGGAATGTCCCTGTCATAAGTGAGAATGTGCCAACATCTGTGAACGAGTAGAAGTTTTCTGAGTTGTACAACAAAATAAACGCACTTTTCGCGCACGACTCCACGCGTCCTCCATCCATGTAAAGTATGCTTATATTATTACGGAACTGAGCTTTTATTCAGAGCACAGTAGTCAGCGGTCGTCGTTCCTTGCATTCGCGATGTGTTTTTACTATTTGTTGAGAGCGTCATAAAAATTTAGTCGTTTGTTGAACTGCGTTCTACAAGAAGTCCTAGCAGATGTTAAT